GAAGTGTATAGTGGAGTGGTGTGGTGAGTGAAGTGTATAGTGGAGTGTGTGGTGATAGTGAAGTGTATAGTGGAGTGGTGATAGTGAAGTGTATAGTGGAGTGGTGTGGAGATAGTGAAGTGTATAGTGGAGTGGTGTGGACATAGTGAAGTGTATAGTGGAGTGGTGTGGTGATAGTGAAGTGTATAGCAGAGTGTGTGGAGATAGTGAAGTGTATAGTGGAGTGGAGACAGTGAAGTGTATAGTGGAGTGTGGTGATAGTGAAGTGTAGAGTGGTGTGGTGATAGTGAAGTGTATAGTGGAGTGGTGTGGTGATAGTGAAGTGTATAGTGGAGTGGAGACAGTGAAGTGTATAGTGGAGTGTGGTGATAGTGAAGTGTAGAGTGGTGTGGTGATAGTGAAGTGTAGAGTGTGTGGTGATAGTGAAGTGTATAGTGGAGTGGTGTGGTGATAGTGAAGTGTATAGTGGTGTGGTGATAGTGAAGTGTATAGTGGAGTGGTGTGGTGATAGTGAAGTGTATAGTGGAGTGGTGCGGTGATAGTGAAGTGTATAGTGGAGTGGTGTGATGATAGTGAAGTGTATAGTGGAGTGGTGTGATGATAGTGAAGTGTATAGTGGAGTGGTGTGGCGATAATGAAGTGTATAGTGGAGTGCTCACCCAGGGGGTTTAACCCCCCCCCCCCAGCTCTGCTGATGGTGCTCACCCAGGGGGTTTAATCCCCCCCCCAGCTCTGCTGATGGTGCTCACCCGGGGCTTAACACCCCAGCTCAGCTGATGGTGCTCACCCTTGGTTTAACATCCCAGCTCAAATGGTGTGTTCTGAAACTGTCATTCCAAGTTCTGGGGATCTGAAACTGTCATTCTATGTCGATAAATTTTTAGAAAAAAATTATTTTTCCTTATGAAATGATAGAGAATCTTTTCCCGATGGTAATGACACCAAAAGTACGAAATTTGGTCGAAAACTCACGGAATTCCGCTCCCGCGAAGTTATTGGTCTCGGCGACATCTACTCATCGGCGATTTCGCCGACTTTGAGCCCTGTTTTTGGCCAATTCCGTTGTTCCAGTTGACCAAACTCATAGCTATTTCTCTAGAACTCCATGTTTTCTATCAGTTGAGTACAAGAAACTGCCCATTTACCGATTTGAACTACCCAATAAAGTGGTCAGAAATTGGCAATTTGGCCAATTTCACGCAAATTAAAAAAGATGCCAATTTCAAAATAGGGTCCAGAATAAACAATGTAGACATTCTTGGCACTAAAATAACATATCCTCTGTTCATTAGTCACGTCTCTAGGCCCCTCTTTTATTATTATTGCTTTCTATTTTGAATTTTTATTCATACAAAAAAAAAAAAAAATACAAAATTTACTATCATGCAGACTACTTCATTATTGAAAAAATTGTATAAATAATATCAGTGCACTAGTGAAAGACTGTTAGACTCCCCAGTTGAAGTGTATTGGACATGTGGTGTGATTTCCTTACTCCTGAACATTAGTAAAAATCGAACATTTCCGCTACTTTGAGCACAATTTCAAGGTTGTTTTCATCGTGAAAGTAATCAAAATCATCTCTATTTATGTAATATGTTTTCCATTTTATCACCTGAGACCATGAAAACGAGAATACAGGTCTCCCTCAACATTCACGTTTTCAACTTTCACGGGCTTCACACATTCGCGAATTCCCAACCGCCAAATTCCCAACCGCCAAATTCCCAGCCACCAAATTCCCAGCCGCCAAATCATATTCAAGTTTCCCGCCACCTGCGAGTCCCTACTACCCTCCCACCGACCCCCACAACTGGCAGCCAGCCCTCCCACCACTCAGTGTGGCGAGTGTTTCGTTTGTTCATTATTTGCTGTTAAACTACAGTACATGTATAAATAATGTAAACCCATTCATGACTGCATATTGGAATGGCTATTCGGACAGGTATTAGACGGTGACATCATATGTTTACTCTTGAACACTGCAAAGAATTAAACATTTCTGCTACAGCTAATAATAACAATAGTAATAATAATAATAATAATAATAATAATAATAATAATAATAATAATAATAATAATAATAATAAATATGATATAATTGAAGAAGGAAATTGTACAAAAATACGAGGAAGTGGTTGACACATCATCAGTGTGGCTTTGTTTATGCTGGAGTGAACATTAGTCTCCCTGCTCTTCCAAACATTTCACAATAATTCAGCGGTTGAGGCAGTGGTATTTAATAACATACATGCTATAAATAATAATAGTACATATTATTAATAACATGTATTATTATTAACATGTATGTTATTAAATACCATTGCCTCAATCACTGCCTCTACCACTCCAGTCACACTCAATCTACAAGCACCAAACACAATGAATTATTGTGAAATGTTTGGAAGAGCAGGGAGACTAATGCTCATTCCAGCATAAACAAAGCCACACTGACGATGTGTCAACCACTCCCTCGTATTTTTGTACAATTTCCTTCTTCAATTATATCATATTTATTATTATTATTATTATTACTATTGTTATTATTAGCAATAGCAGAAATGTTCGATTCTTTGCTGTGTTCAAGAGTAAACACATGATGTCATCGTCTAATACCTTTCCTAATAGCCGTTCCAATATACAGTCATGAATGGGTTTACATTATTTATTCCGTAGTTTAATAGCAAATAATGAGCAAACAAAACACTCACCACACTGAGTGGTGGGAGGGCTGGCTGCCAGTTGTGGGGGTCGGAGGGAGGGTAGTAGGGACTCGCAGTGGTGGAGTCTGTGGTATTTAATAACATACATGTTATTAAATAACATACATTATTAAAGCATAACATGTAAATATTTAGTACAATTTACGACGTTTTCATGTATTTTATGATTATTCATGGTTCAACAAGTTAAGGAAGCAGTATTGTAATATATTTCCCTACAATATATTGGGGCACCAAACATTCACGGTTTTACATATTATACATATTATTATTATTACAATATAAATAATTTGTAATTTTTATTCACACAAAAAATACAAGATTTACTGTTATGCCTTGTTGCAAGAATTGTATAAATAACGTCAACCCATTCACGACTGCATACTGAAATGGACAGTGACGTCATTTGTTTACTTTCGAACTTACCCAAAACAATCGAACATTTCTCCTGTGTTGAGCTTAATTTCAAGGTACTTTTCGTCATGAAAGCAATCAAAATCACATCTATTTCTGTAACATATCTTCCATTCCATCAAATGAGACCAAAAAAATGAGAATACAACCATAAAAACCATACGAAAATACCGCTAAGGGGTGGCTAATTGCTGAGAAGTGAACTCCATTATTGATGCTTAGATTTCTTTCATTTTTGGTGTACATTAAGAAGCACCTTTCCATCATACATTGCCCAAGTTTCAATAAGATAGTCCAACAATCGAGATACAATTCACTAGATCAAGAGCAAGAGCCCCTCGCCAGCGTCAAGGAACCTGCCTTGAGGTCTGCTCGCTTATGGAAACAAAAAATCGACCCATCGACTGCTCGTATTTGGAAAAACTCGCACGTGGATGCGCTCGCAAGTAGAGGTTCCACTGTACTTGTTTACTGATGCCTCGGACTTACAACGGGCTCTCTGACTAGTATTCATACCTAAATAATGTATATGAGAGCTCATTTCCTCTATTCTGTTTATTTCAATATAAGTACACTACTGCATAAATATTTAAAAATATACCAGAAATGTTATAAATGGTGGAAAGGTGACAATAAAACAATATCAAAGATGGATGACACAAACTCACTACATTATAGTATGCTCCTCACTTAACAATGAATTCATTTAATGACGTGGTCTTAGGAACAGAACTCCATCGTTAAGTGAGGAGAGGCTGTGTATACACACCCTTCTGTTTTCTTCTATTTTCTTACTAGTTCTTGTTCTGGTTTATTTCCTCTTATCTCCATGGGGAAATTGAACAGAATTCTTCCTACGTAACATGCATCGAAAGAGGCGGCTAAAACGCCGGGAGCAAAGGGCTAGTATCCCCTTTTCCTGCATAAATTACTAAAGTTAAAAAAAACTTTTTTCTTTTTGGGCCATCCTACCTTGGTGGGATTTGGCCAGTTGGCTGAAAGAAGAATAATAATATAGGAAGCTATGTTGAAAGGAACACGAAACAAATTAGGTAGGGAAAATTTTTATAAGAGTACAGATAAATAGAGTCAAACAGTTACAGATGAAGCCCTTGTCAGTTATGAAAAATCAATGGAAAAACTGTATATTCATGTAAAAGCAAGAGTGGGAAGCTATGGTGCAGAGCAGGGCTCTATATGGATGAAAAGGATCATTTCTCCTGGAGGAGTTGGACTCTATGAAGCTGTATTCTGTATATTATTAGCTGTGTGTGGAGCCAAAGAATTTGTGTTGTAATGCAAGAAAATATTTATTGGGTTCAGTTTATTGCTTTCCCCTGTCTCGAATATTTCAATTATCTTGTATGATATCTTTCTAGGTATCCTAGAATCAGATCCATTTCTCAGTAACCAAGTATTAAACTCTATCAATTGTACTAAGACACTAAATATTAATAAATTGTAAAACTAGTGTGAAATGTGATATTCACTTTCTCCACCTTTAATTTTGTTCCCATATATTTCTACCTAATCCTTCTTGCTCCCATGACATGGGATTAATGTGTGCAGCAATCACAACAAGAGGTTCTGCATTGGAAAAATGCTGAATAATGTGAAAAACAAAAATAATTTTTAAAGAAGGCACTTACAGAAACATATTTTTTTTTTTTTTTTTTTTTTTTTTTAAACATGCTGGCCGTCTCCCACCGAGGCAGGGTGACCAGAAAAAGAAACACTTTTACCATCAACCACTATCAGTCTTGCCAGAGGAGTGCAGATATAACGGTTTAGATGTCCATTCAAACAGCAAACATCCCAAATCCCAGTGCAGGAACTGTACTTCCCACCTCCAGGAAACCTTACCTTTGTTATTGTAATAAAATCAGTTGCCAGGAAAACACCACGAATCCCTTCAACTCTAAACAGCAGCTTAGCTAATGGGGATTTCTGAGCTGCTGTGATGTTTGGAAAGTTAGCTGTACCTGACTCCAAGACCTGTAATATTATGATAAATCAGTCAGCACTGAGAGGCATAAAAGGCAGTACAATACAAAGCCTTAAGTGTAACTGAATACAGTAAGATAAAAAAAAGAAGTGTTTCATGTAAATATCTCAGACAAAATGAAAAGGACAGACAGACCTGGACTCCTGGCAAAAACTTGAGAGAATTTGGATTAGGCGTTTCTTGAACTTTGATGAACATTGAGCATAAAGAAGTTTGAAAAAATGTCCTTTTGGTCTCCAGTTGGTGGTGACTGGGTACACATTGTAAGAGCAGAGCCTTCCTAATAAGTGTTATATTTTTGCTAGTGTGGCGGACTGGAGTGCTGTTTCAGAGGAAAAAAAATACACGCAAGTTGATACACATCACAGGTGCTTTTATTAAAATAATACTTGGCAAAAAACAATACTTGGCAAAACAGAAATTATGGTATATGTTTAATAATAACCCACATGGTCTGTATATTTCGAACCCCTTCTGGGATCCTCTTTGGTTATACAGAACAAATGAAAAGTAATATTCATGAGAGTTATTCTGAATAATGATTAGAAGAAAAAAAAAAAAAGACTATGTGCTTCAATATTTATTTAATACACAGACATTATACTACAGTCTTATACTGTAATGTACATAATGTATACAAAATGATTAATTTATGAAAATACTGCAATGCTGAATCAAGCCTTTAAAATATTGTAAGCATCTTTATTTTGCAGCAATGTTGAACCAGTAAACTGATGATCACTTTGATCTATGTCAGTGTTGTAGATCTATTCATAGTGCCCTTAAACTTGGCCTGAACAGCAAATTTTGGCCTAGATATGTAAAAATGAGTTGGTGCAGTAGATGTGAACAGTATAAAATTCTAGGCTAATGATATGCAGTGCATGAAGGGAATAGCTAACCTTGGACCTGCATTTGGGTTAAAATATCAACTTCGGGTGTTTTCTAGGGTGGTTTTCATGGTTTTACTGGCAGTTTTTTGATACCACTGGTGAAATGGACATAATATGGTTTGTTTTAATTCTTTATTGAGCAAACACACACACACACACACACACACACACACACACACACACAAAGGATTCGGATGTGCTTCTAGTAAGTTAGAGATTGGCTCATTTTAAGACCTTTTTACTCTTATGAATTGTTGAATATGAGTTCAAATAGTTATTATTCCAACTTATGACTGAATGGGAACCACCTGCTCCTAAGTCGGGAACTACACAGCTACACATCTCATCTCACTTCCTTTGGGATGGAGTTAGGGCTATCTGATAGGTTACTTGATCTGAAACAATTTCAACAATTTCATGTGTCTAGTTTAAGCTCTAGAATCTTTTCAGATAAGGGACCATAAATGGGATATGGCCAGTTTGATCAAAAAAAAAAAAAATGTATCATAATAAATATAAATATATGCATAAATATATAAATATAAATCTATAAATATATATAATACACCCATATATATATATAAAGTGGAACCTCAAATTTCGAACTTATCACTTATCGAATGTTTCAAAAATAGAACCCTTTTCTCGAACCAACTTTGTCCCTATTATCGAACACGCCCCTATTTTCAGACCGCCGGGTGCCGAACCTGTCCTCCAGCCCGCTCTGTCCGCGTCCCCGCGCAGGCGCCGTGAGCCAGTCTGGCTTTGTTGATGCTTGAGTGAACACTAACCTGCGCTCTCATTCAAACATTTTATGATTATTTCATTGTGTTTAGTGCTTGTGGGACTGTGAAATAAGCTACCATGGGCCCAAAGGAACTTGCTAGTGGTACTCCTATGGTAAAGAAAGTGAGAAACACCATAGATGTGAAGAAGGAAATAATACAGAAGTATAAGAGTGGTGCGAGATTTGCTGAGCTTACCAGGATGTATGGGAAAAACAAACTGACCATCGGTTCTATCCTGGCAAAGAAAGAACAAATCAAGGAAGCTGATGTTGCAAAAGGTGTTAATGTGCTAACCAAAAAAAGACCACAAATTGGTGAAGAGGTTGAGAAGTTGTTGCTGGTGTGGATCAAGGATAAAGAGATGGCAGGTCGATAGTGTTTCAGAGATGATTATTTGTGAAAAGGAAAGGAAGTTGCATGTCGATCTGGTACAGAGAACTCCTGGAATCAGTTCAGTGATAGGACCATGTTCCATTTTAGGGAAATGTTAAAGAGGCACCAGAAACAGAGGACTGTGGACAGTTATTTTGTGAGACAGGGGTCCAGTGACTCTCAAGCTGGCTCTAGTAGCATTAAAAGACAGAGAAGGGAAGTAACCCCAGAGAGGGCTTTGACTGAAGTCCTCATGGAGGGGGATTCTCCTTCCAAGCACTAACCCCAACTCCCTCTCCCCTCCTCCCTATCTTCCAGATGCCATCACCAATCTTCAATAAAGGTAAGTAAAAAAATGTTATTTTATATTTATGTACATAATTGAACACTACAGTATTTGTTGTATGTAAAACTAATTAATCTCTATAAAATGTATTTTTTTATGAACATTTTTGGGTTTCTGGAATGGATTAATTGTATTTCCATTATTTCTTATGAGAAATACTGCTTCGATTTTCAGACTTTTTGAATTTAGAACTAGCTCCTGGAACGGATTAAGTTCGATAAACAGGCATCAAAGTGGGGAAAAACTGCTGATGTACAGTGCTTCTCAACCTCCAACTTCACACTGAAAAGCCAGTTGTAGATCACTAATCGTCCAGATTTATAATGCAAATAAACCAGTTACTTTAAGCCCCAATCATGTTATAATTTATAATACGAAGACTTTATTTGGATTATAAAGCCAATAGGGGTAGTAGCCCAGGATAAGATTAAAATTTGTTCAGATTTTTAACCTGGGGGAAGGTTAGCCACCCAGGAAAGTCAGTGTGTTATTGGGAACTGTGTTTTATTACCATTGTGGTCCTTCAATCTTGTCCCCCAGGATGCCACCCACACTAGTCGACTAACACCCAGGTACCTACTAACTGTTAGCAGGGGTAAGGTGACAAACACCCAGGTACCTACTTCCTGCTAGGTAATCAAGGGCAACTGCACCTCCGAGGTTCGAACCTGGTGCCTTGGCTGCTAGCCGAAGGTACTACCACTGAGCCCTACTAAACACCACTGTCACTATGTCTAGTTGCATTACAAATGTAATTCAACATACGTGGTTAATAGTAATCTTGAAAAAATGGAGGTTAATTACCTCAGGCAAGCTAGACGAGCTACAGACCTACAAGACACACTCACAACACCAGCCATGTTGACACTGTTTAGGTTTATCAGGGACACTGACGGCTCACGACGTGTCCAGGCATTAGTTTAATATTTTTATGTTGCACCCCATACCCATCCTGCGGGCGGTAGTCAAAGGATTATGAGGTACATAATGGGTCCAGGGACTGAGCCCTAAGTTATGTAGGATTACAGAGGTACATAATGGGTCCAGGGACTGAGCCCCGAAGTTATGTAGGATTACACAGGTACATAATGGGTCCAGGGACTGAGCCCCATAGTTGTGTAGGATTACATAGGTACATAATGGGTCCAGGGACTGAGCCCCGAAGTTATAGCTGAACAAGGTGTAAAGGTAATGAACTCTGAAGTTAGAGAGGTAATGAATCATCTACACGTTTATACATGATTACAATCTTGAACAAATTATTAAGTAATGAGCAATTCACACGTCCACGACTGTAATGGCCTATTAATGCAAATATTAATTAGGTCACACATACATACACATGAGCAAGTGATTGCAGTGATGTACAACCCACCACTTAATAGCAGGAAGCCAAGACAAGAGTACGATGAGAGCAACAGAGCAATGCTTGATACACTAGCTGAGGTTACCAGATGGGACCACATGGTCAAGGCAAAGTTACTAATTGTGGGTGATTTCAGCCACAAGGAGATAGACTGTGGAAAACCTGGAGCCACTTGGGGGACCAGAAACGTGGAGGACTGATGATGATTGAGGTGTTACCGGAAAACCTCATGCATCAACATATGAAAGCTCCTTCTAAGCTAGTGATCACACGGCATGAGGAATTTCCTACAGGAGGTACAGTGGGAAAGAGAACTGGTAGGAAATACAGTAAATGAAATTATGGAATACGTGTCCACAAAATGCAGGGATTTAGATTTTGTCACCCAAGTGGCTAGTTTATTTTGCATCCCATATCCATCCTGTGGACGGTAGCGCAAGAGTATATGGATACACAAAAGTCCTAGAAACTAGGCCTCAAAAGGGTTAACAGGTGTACTTATGGATTTTTATCTACATATCTACAGTTCACTTAACTGTTACAAGCAAATATGTTAAGCAAATTTAGGAAATTTGCTTAGCATAACTGATATCTTATTTTCATTAATAAGATATCTTGACATGTCACATAGGTTATTATACTGTATTCCTCAATAGGTGTACAATTAAGCACACAGTGTTCAAGATGCGAACCATACCAGTCGACTAACACCCAGGTACCTATTTGCTTCTAGGTGAACAGGACAACAGGTGTAAGGAAATGCGTTGTAATGTTTCTACCCCACCGGGAATCGAACCCGGAAACTCCATGTGTGAAGCGAGAGCTATGCCAGCCAGTGCACGGGGTCACCCGTGGCAGCAGAAACAACAGAAAGGCCAGAGTGAGTCCTTGGTTCACCCAAAGGTGTAGAGAGGCCAAAACTAAGTGCACGAGAGAATGGAAAAAGTATAGAAGACAAAGAACCCATGAAAATATGTTGATTAATCAAATAGGCAGAAATGAATATGCATGGGTAAGGAGGAAGGCCCAGTGTCAATACGAAAATGACATAGCATTGAAAGCTTTCTGGTGGGAGCTCCATTGTTGGTGCTAGGGAGGATAGGAATAAGACAGGTAAACATGCACCAACAGGGAATACAGTCACAGAAACCCAAGGCAAACGGAAACCAAGCCTGTGCACATACTATGCACTTGGTATCTGCAGGCATGGGAAATCTGGAAAAACAGATGGGACGTGCAACTATGACCACCCTAGAAAATGCCGTGCCCATATGACAACAGGAAAATGCAAACTCCCTACCTGTAAGCTTTTTCACCCTGAAATGTGTACCTCTTCAGTACAGGAAAGACTGTGCTATAACTTAAATTGCCAGGCACACCATCTAAAGGGGACAAAAAGATACAAAGCATCCAGGCCATGGGAAAACCTGGGTAGCCACATCCACTCAAGAGGGAGAGGTTTTTTAGTGTCAGGAAGGAAAAACCTGGCAGGAAATGGCAGAAATCGTACACCAAATCCAGTCATTCCTGGAGTGGAACCACAGTCGATGGCCTCCACTCCAAACCAACAGATACAGATACTAATGCTGGAAAAAAAATCACCCCCTCCCCCAGTACCAACAATACCACCAGTCCGATGACATTTTTCTTTGCAAACATACAGGGTCTAAAGCCAGCAACAAACAAAATACCTTTCATCCGTGGACTACTTGCAGAGGCAAAGGCAATGTTCGCGGCTTTCACTGAGACCCACAGAAAGGATCACTTGGACAACGAAATATGGATCCCAGGTTACAACCTATACAGATGCGACAGAGTGAACAGGCAAAAGGGGGGAAGGGGGTTGGCCTGTACATTGCAGAGTCACTTGTTTGCACAGAACTGCTAAATGCCTCAAATGATGCAGTGGAAGTTTTAGCAGTAAAGATCGAGAACCAAAACCTAGTCATTGTGGTAGTCTACAAGCCTCCAGATGCAACATCCCAGCAATTCCAGGAGCAGCTGTTAAAAATTGACCACTGACTGGAAAATCTTCCAGCTCCTGCACCCAATATCTTGCTCCTGGGGGATTTCAACTTAAGGCACCTAAAATGGAGGAATATAGCAAATAATATTGTTGCAGTAATAACACCAGGAGGCAGCTCTGATGAAAACTCACAGTCACACGAGCTTTTAAATCTCTGCACAAAATTCAATTTAAACCAGCAAATAATAGAGCCTACTAGACTGGAGAATACACTAGACCTCATCTTCACTAACAATGATGATCTGATACGAAATGTCACCATATCAAAAACAATATACTCAGATCACAACATAATTGAGGTTCAGACATGTATGCGCGGAGCCCCAGACCGACATAATGAGATTAGTCACGAGGGAGCATTCACCAAACTCGACTTCAATAACAAAAACAAAGTGGGACCAAGTAAACCAAGTCCTAACCGATATAAGCTGGGAAGATATACTAAGCAACACAGACCCCAACTTATGCCTAGAAAAGATTAACTCGGTGGCACTCGATATATGCACAAGACTTATTCCTCTAAGAAAAAGGAGTAGATGTAAAATAGAAAGAGACAGGCGCTCCCTTTACAGGCGACGGAAAAGAATAACAGAACAGCTAAAAGAGGTCAATATATCTGAAATGCGTAGGGAGACACTGGTCAGAGAAATAGCAAGCATCGAACTTAAGCTAAAGGAATCTTATAGGAGTCAGGAATCGCGGGAAGAACTAAAAGCCATAAATGAAATCGAAAGAAATCCAAAGTATTTCTTCTCCTATGCCAAATCAAAGTCGAGAACAACGTCCAGTATTGGGCCCCTACTTAAACAAGATGGGTCCTACACAGATGACAGCAAGGAAATGAATGAGCTACTTAAGTCCCAATATGACTCAGTTTTTAGCAAGCCACTAACCAGTCTGAGAGTCGAAGATCAAAATGAATTTTTTATGAGAGAGCCACAGAATTTGGTTAACACAAGCCTATCTGATGTTATCCTGACGCCAAATGACTTCGAACAGGCGATAAATGACATGCCCATGCACTCTGCCCCAGGGCCAGACTCATGGAACTCCGTGTTCATCAAGAAATGCAAGAAGCCCCCTATCACGAGCTTTTACCATCCTATGGAGAGGGAGCATGGACACGGGGGTCGTCCCACAGTTACTAAAAACAACAGACATAGCCCCACTCCACAAAGGGGGCAGTAAAGCAATAGCGAAGAACTACAGACCGATAGCACTAACATCTCATATCATAAAAATCTTTGAAAGGGTCCAAAGAAGCAAGATCACCACCCATCTAGAAACCCATCAATTACACAACCCAGAGCAACATGGGTTTAGAACAGGTCGCTCCTGTCTGTCTCAACTATTGGATCACTACGACAAGGTCCTAGATGCACTATAAGACAAAAAAGAATGCAGATGTAATATATACAGACTTTGCAAAAGCCTTCGACAAGTGTGACCATGGTGTAATAGCGCACAAAATGCGTGCTAAAGGAATAACAGGAAAAGTCGGTCGATGGATCTATAATTTCCTAACAGAACACAGAGAGTAGTAGTCAACAGAGTAAAGTCCGAGGCAGCTACGGTGAAAAGCTCTGTTCCACAAGGCACAGTACTCGCTCCCATCTTGTTCCTCATCCTCATATCTGACATAGACAAGGATGTCAGCCACAGCACCGTGTCTTCCTTTGCAGACGACACCCGAATCTGCATGACAGTGTCTTCCATTGCAGACACTGCAAAGCTCCAAGCGGACATCAACCAAATCTTTCAGTGGGCTGCAGAAAACAATATGAAGTTCATCGATGAGAAATTTCAATTACTCAGATATGGTAAACACGAGGAAATTAAATCTTCATCAGAGTACAAAACAAATTCTGGCCACAAAATAGAGCGAAACACCAACGTCAAAGACCTGGGAGTGATCATGTCGGAGGATCTCACCTTCAAGGACCATAACATTGTATCAATCGCATCTGCTAGAAAAATGACAGGATGGATAATGAGAACCTTCAAAACTAGGGATGCCAAGCCCATGATGACACTCTTCAGGTCACTTATTCTATCTAGGCTGGAATATTGCTGCACACTAACAGCACCTTTCAAGGCAGGTGAAATTGCTGACCTAGAAAATGTACAGAGAACCTTCACGGCACGCATAACGGAGATAAAACACCTCAATTACTGGGAGCGCTTGAGGTTCCTGAACCTGTGTTCCCTGGAACCCAGGCGGGAGAGATACATGATTATATACACCTGGAAAATCCTAGAGGGACTAGTACCGAACTTGCACACGAAAATCACTCACTATGAAAGCAAAAGACTTGGCAGACGATGCAACATCCCCCCAATGAAAAGCAGGGGTGTCACTAGCACGTTAAGAGACCATACAATAAGTGTCAGGGGCCCGAGACTGTTCAACTGCCTCCCAGCATACATAAGGGGGATTACCAACAGACCCCTGGCAGTCTTCAAGCTGGCACTGGACAAGCACCTGAAGTCGGTTCCTGACCAGCCAGGCTGTGGCTCGTACGTTGGTTTGCGTGCA